TCAAAATAGAAACTACAGTGTATTTAATAGAGTAACCATACTGGTCAGGTCCTGGGAGCTAGTGAGATGCTGTAGGCTTTGACTGTTGGGGTTAGCTTTGTGTTCTTCAGTGCTCAACAGTTCTCATAACAGTAATACCATAAATTTGGGGCTTAAAGGAGAAAATGAGATCATAGGGGGAGGTTCAGTTAGAAGCTATTGCAGCTTTCTTGGCTGCACCTGGATGTTTATTCCATGACCAGGGCCGTTGCATTAAATCACTTACTGATCTTAATCATTCTCTTTCGTTTTCAATATCCTGGTTCAAATCCAGCTCCATTGAAGATAAAGAATAAGTGTTTGCAACCTCATTCAAATTTGTTCAAACTGGCTTGTACTGGGCTTTGTTCCATTGGGATACTTGGGAAAATTAGTCGGAGCTCACTGAACAGGTGGAATTAAAGTAGTTAAACTTCATTAAATCTCTGTGTGAATACTGTTATTCAGGTGGCCTTAATTCCAGTCACTTTCTTGAATTAAATAGCAGGAAATCCAGCTTAATTCTCAGTAAGGATGCAGACATATGTCCTGTTTGCAGCCAAACTGTGCCTCTTCAGGACCCACAGCTTCACCACTCCCTGAACAGTCTTGGCAGAGCTGCCGATACGAAACATTTCTTAACTTGTTTTACTCCAGATGAGCTGCACTAGCATTAACTCGCCATTCAAACTGTTTTTCCTCAGACTCATTTGGCTGGAGAGAGGTAGGGAGTGCTGGCAAAGCCTTGGGAACAGTGATCTGTACCTTGGAAAAGCAGATTCCACTGCAGGTGGCTCTTCTGGCCCACTCCTATACATCTCTCTGCAGTGTCCACCTCTCTTTGCTCTATGTGCTGATGCAGCGCATGAACCAATCTGCTTTAAATTCAGCCCTTAAGTTTCCCAAGCATCCCTGTGTAAAGTGTTTAAGTAAATCTCCCTCAACTGTCGTCTGTTGATGTGAGGTGTCAACACCTAGTGAGAACAGGCACAAGCAACGTGCCAAGGTTTGCAGGGATCCAGCAGCTGGATCATGCCTCTCCAGCAGAGTTGGGATGTGCTGGCAAGCGAGCTACAGAAAATCATCACAGCTTTTTGTAGGGCATATCACAGCCAATGAACCTGATTCTGCTTGCAGGTACATAGCATAAAGTTACCAGGGGGGTTGGAACTGGATGATCTTCAGGTCCTTTCCAGCCCTAACTATTCTATGTTGAGGAGAGGGCCAGGCAGGTTTGAGGCTGATGAGGCTCACTCGCAATGACAGGTCACACTAGGTTTATTTTTCCATTGTCAACTGTTTGTCAGTGGTAGAAGGCTTTTAGTCATGGAGGAGAAGAAATGGTTCTTCTGACCATTTGTTCCTTGACCTGCAGATTGCAGGTGATGCTTCGCAGCCTGCTTGGGCTAACACTGGGGTCTGCCCTCTGTAGCAAGAGTCACTGTCATACACTGTTGGGATACTCTGAATACCTGAAAGGAGGTTGTAGTGAGGTGGGGGTCAGTCTCCTCTCCCAAGGAACAAGGGACACAAGAAGAGGAAACGGCCTCCAGCTGCACCAGGGGAGGTTTAGGCTGGATATTGGGAACAATTCCTTCCCCAAAGGGCAGTCAGGCATTGGAACAGGCTGCCCAGGGCAGTGCTGGAATCACCATTCCTAGAAGGGTTCACAAACCGTGTAGAGGAGGCCCTTAGTGCCATGGGTTAGTGGTGGCCTTGGCAGTGCTGGGGAGCAGTTGAGCTGGATGATCTTGAAGGTCTTATCTAACCTAAAAGTTTTCTATGACTGTGATTGTCTTTTTGGATCAGTGTGCTGAGTTTGGGGATGAATTCTTAGGAGCAGCATAATCTAACAGAAAATGTGTTGTTGCAAATGGTGCCTTGATGATGAGTTTGTTGTAAGAAGTTATCCTCTAATGCATCTGGCCCAGAGAACCAGACTGCATCTTAATGATCTCGTTCCAACTTCCCTTCCCCAAAATGGCCTCCTGATTATATTCCCCCCATTAAATCCCTATGAGAGCCCTCCCTTTAAATGATCTGCCTTGGAAATTTCCTAAGGGGTGGTGCTGTTCCCACGTAGGCTTATAATAGTGTACATAGAATGCTATTAAAACACTAGATGAAAGCAGGAAAGCTTTATTATACCGGCATCTTTATCAGAGAGCTGCTGGTTAGAGTAATCTGGGATCTTGTAGGTAACTTTAGCTGTGCCATTTGCCGTCTGAACTGAGTTCCCTGCCTTCTCAGGACTGCTGTGCCCTGAAGGATGGGAGAGGAGCTGGGTGGGATAGACAGGAATTCCAGCGTGACAGCCCAGAGGTGTGCTGGTCCCAGAGCTCGGCTCTGCTGACGGGGAGGAGTGGGGCGCCTGATCCTCTGGCATGTGTTGCCTTTTCTGCAGGCCATTGTTAATAAGTATTAGAGACCTTTGCTGTGCTCTGAGGTTGCTTTTAATTAACAATTACTTAGCAATTGACAATGGAAAGCTGACAAATTATAATCCAAATGCCTGCTTTCATCGTCGGGGATTCCACACTTCCCAGAAACAAAGGAGCGGAGGAACAGCAGCGCTCCCTCTGCTGTTGCTATGTGTGGTAACTTCTGTGTTGGGGCCTGCAGTTTTCTCACGTTTCCTCAGTAACCTGAATACCTGAACTGATGAATCTCTTCACCTCCGCATTCCCCCAGAGGCTGTCTCATTCTGTTGCTGTGATACTTCTTTCTTTTCTCCCCCTTCTCCTCCCTTGGCAGACCTGCATGGGCAAAGACGTAACCCTTCACGTCTCTGCAAGCAACCCTGCTATGCTGCTCTACCAGAAGTTTGGATTTAAGACCGAAGAGTACATTTTGGACTTTTATGACAAATACTACCCCTTGGACAGCAAGGAGTGCAAGCACGCCTTCTTCCTCAGGCTGCGGCGCTGATCCATGTTGGGGGGGCTCTGGAAAGGCCAGTCTGTCAAGCAAAGAACTACCACGGCTTTCAGTGGAGGATGCTGGCTGCCATGTGAGAGCTGGAGCTCACTGCTGCCTTTATCCCTAGGACGTTGAGTGTCAACAGTGTTGTGTGATAAAACTGCAAAAAGAGGATCTGTTCCTATTGCTCCGAGGGGAGAGGCCTGGAAATGCCAACCGGGACCTGCTGAAACCACTGGAAGACTGAAATTCTTTATGGGGAGTTTTTGTGCCACTGTTTTGGAAAGCCTCGTTGGCAAACAGAAACCCCCCCAACGAAAAATGGTTGTCGCTTCAGAGGGTGTCACATTTTGAAACCTGCCCCAAAAATAGCCACAGGTTTTTTGGGTTTGTTTATGGGAAATGAACATCTGAACTTAACTCCTCCGGTGTTTCTGTGATTTGATTGCTTTGTTAGGAACCCTGTCTTGAATCCGTGAAGGGAAACAAGTTCCTGGTGCCCCTAGCTGGAAGCGCTCTTTAGGAAAGCTCTGCACTTGCCAGAACAGCAGTGCTGGAGCCATGCTTTAGGAATAATGAAGAGCGTGTGAAGTCCTGTTCTTCCCCCGTGCGAGGCTCTGTGAGGTGTGTGTCCCCCGCTCCTTCACGCCTGCCTTCCTTTTCCCTCGTTGGCCCTGTGCTCACTGTGAAGTTTTTGTAGTGCCAGTGTTTGGTGTTCAGAACAAGATGTCAAGCGGGTTTTGCTGCACATCAGCCCCTTGGGCACAGCTCTAACCACAGAGCCAGCCTTGCAGCTCAGCGCCCACCTCCTCCTGCTACAGATGCTCTGGCTAGAAGAAAACCAGCACAGAAGTCAGTGGTGATGGCTGAAATGCAGGCTCTGGTTTGTAGAAGCAATCTGCAGCTTGGAGGGAGGGAAGGGTAGAGGTAGGCCAGTTCCAGTCTCTGGAAGCATCTTGGCTGGGATTTCATGGCTGTAAGTATAAGAGAAGAGCAAAGAATAAATAGGAATAAGCAAGAATTAAAAGAGCACAAACCCCAGACAGTTTCTCTGGTAGTGGGGATTGGTCCTTTTACAGTTTAGCAGCTTCTCTCTCTCCCTGACTTTTATTGCAGATGAACAGCAAGCAGGCAGTGTGCTGCCTGACCAAAGGCCAGCCTGTGCGTTTTCAATACGAGTCACATTCACTGTTCTGTTCCTTCCACATCAAGCCTTATAGAGATCTGCACAAGAAATGTGACTTCTTTATTCTTAATCCATTGTGTATACCTGCCTGTAGTAGTAGTTGCCTTAATGAAGTCTTCATTTTGGTAACAGCAGAGACAGACACACGAAGTGTGTCTTTGTGTAGCCTATGTACATCATCACCAAAACAAAACCAGTGTTAGTGGGAGGGGAAAGGAACCCATCCAAGTGCACATTTCTGCCTGCTATATGACTGTGTGAAGTTCAGTGTTACTGATGTTATGAGTTAGCTGTGCTTGGAAGGAAAAAATACCTGTCTTTATGAATGGAATTAAAGCCCTTCCCGTGGAAAATCCTACCTGTAGTCATGCTGTTTGTTAAGCTGTGTCTCCATCAGCTTATTTCACTGAAGTCTGGCAAACTTGAGGGTGCAAAGCCTGTGTATGGGCAGCAGATAGCAGGAAACCCCTTATTCCTTTACTGGGCACCCACATAGAAGTCACACACGTGCAGGCCCCAGCAGGGCGTTTCCTTGCTAGCCAGGAGGAGGAGATAAAAGAAAGTGTGAAGAAGATGAGATGAACGTGATGTTCTGCATCGTGTTCTTAAAGGTGGCCATGAAGATTTTGAGGAGCTTCTTGTTCTATGCTAATACCTCCATGGCTTTGTCTCTCAGAGGGGAAAATGCCAAGTAGAGAAGGTAGAAGAACAGCACTGGGATTCCTGCTAATTCGCTTGTATTTCTTGGAAAATTGGCCAGTTAACGGCTGTACCTGTTATATCCCACACTCCTGGGGCTGTAGGCTTAAGTTTTGATCCCTTAGTGTTTTTGTGTACTCCACACCCTGTTCCTTAGTGCTGCCTGTGAAAATGGGACATGCCTTTGAATTGCTTACTGCGAGATCCTTCCCTGGTCTGGGTGAAGCTGAATAGCTGTGACCCAAGAAGACTTCCTGACTTGCAAAGGGATCCCAGCAAACCAGGACTGAAGGGCACTGGTGAAGCCTACCTCACTGATGTAGGACACTGATGTGGTATCTGTGCGTTACCTCCTCTCAGCAACTCACCCTGTCTGTAAAAGGGGATTTCTTCTGCTCTGCTGGCTGTATGGGTGAGCACAGAGGTGCTACTCAGCAAGCAGGAATTCAGCCCCTGCTTCCAACAGGAGTCTCCTGAGGACAGGAGGTTGAGGCCGGGCTGGTAACTGGCAGCGTGTGAAGTCAGGTGTGCGATCTGATAGGAGCTGGCAGCCCTGGGGGAACGCCCAGCCTTGCCAGGGAGCAATGCCTGCCCTCATGAGGTTGGCACCAGGATTAGGCAGCCTTTGGAGTAGCTGTAAAATAGCTGCTGCAGCTGCAGAGCTCGTCTGTGGCTGCACAAGGACCACTTCCAGCCTCCTCTCAGGAGAACATTTCTTCCCCAGAATGCTGACTAATGAATAATGCTTAGCAGCTTAAGGCCACGCTGCTTGAACAGCCACGTGCAGCTGGTTTTCAATGCAATGGATGAGGTTCTTCCAAGGCACGTGGTGAAACAAACTGTGTGCTCATAGCCCTCTGCTTCCCTCCGTGTCACGCCGTGGAGATGAGTTATGTTAGCTGTGATTGAGAAGCCAGCATCCACCCCGCTTCATGACACAATTACTCCATGCTTCCCTGAGCTGCACAGCGAGGGTAGCAGCGATCCCAGTTGCCAAGCACATCCCGGTTTAGCAGAACAAAGTTTTCCTGCAGAATAAAGGTGGGACCTCACCCTGTCCTAGTAAGGCAGCAAAGCCTGAACCTTTCCACGTGCTTGTGTGAGCTTTGATGCTTCACAACCAGGAAGGTGCCTACTGTGGTCAGCTTCATCATGCTTGTTGATCTACAGTGTCCGAGCTGGGTAAATACTGGGATCATGCTGCATAGTTGTCAGTGATTTTGTAGGAGTCATACTTTGCAGTTTACTTTGAAAGAGAAGTCGCTTCCCAGGGAGTCCTGAGGCTGCTGCCATAGGTGCCGAATGCTTCTTTTCAGGTTAGATTCAGTCTGGGGGAAGAAGCAGGAGTTTGGTCTGTTTGTTGCCACCTATAGTGTAAGGATGTGCTTCTTCACAGCCCCACCTGCTTGTGAGGATGAGCAGCTGAGCTGAGATGTCTTTATCCCTCATCTCTGCCTCCTGTCCTCACATCAGCCTGCTGCAGAGGTAACCTGGGAGGAGATAATCTAGAGGAGATATCTCTGCGCAAACACTCCCTGCCATGTCGGACAGCGCAGGAAACCCAGCCCCTGCTGCTGTGATGGATGAGTAGCTGCTTCTCCCCCGCAGAACCAGCTGCCTCTTGCCCCCGTGGCTGTGAGCCAGATTGCCAGGTCCCGCTTCCTTCCCCAGGCAGAGGCAGTGAGCTCAGCCGCTCCTGCTGCCCGCGGGAGGGGAAGAGCCGCGCTCTGTGCCAGCAACAGGCGGTCACCGCCACGGAGGAGTGGGAGCAGCGCTGTGCCTAGCAGGACCCTTCCTGCTGTGCTGCTCTGCCAGCTCTGTCAGTGGGGGAACCCAGGGCAACTTCTTATGGAATGGAAAAAACAGGAAAAAAAGGTCAAACTGGCAAATTTGCCCTCTTCCCTGATGGACTTGTGCTGGAGGCTTTAGAGCATCCTTTTTCCAACTGGCTCACACTATATCATAGAATCCCAGACTGATTTGGGCTAGGAGGGACCTTAAAGCTCATCCAGTTGTGGGACACCTTCCACTAGACCAGGTTGCTGCAAGCCCCTGTGTCCAACCTGGCCTTGAACACTGCCAGGGATGGGGCAGCCACAGCTTCTCTGGGCACCCTGTGCCAGCGCCTCAGCACCCTCACAGGGAAGAATTTCTTCCTAATGTCTCATCTCAATCTCCCCTCTGTCAGGTTAAAGCCATTCCCCCTTGTCCTGTCCCTACACGTCCGTGTCAAAAGCCCCTCTCCAGGTTTCTTGTCACCCCTTTAGGCACTGGAAGCTGCTCTAAGGTCTCTCCTTAAGGAGCCTTCTCTTCTCGAGGCTGACCCAGCCCAGCTCTCTCAGCCTGGCTCCAGAGCAGAGCTGCTCCAGCCCTCAGAGCATCTCCATGGCCTTCTCTGGACTCGCTCCAACAGCTCCATGTCCCTCTTAAACGCTGGTGCCTCACACCTCAGGCTCCTCGGGAATTACAAGGGTGCTTCTTGCCTGCCCTTGCCGGCAGCGCTGTGTGCGGCGGGGCTCACTCCTCCGCCCGGGCGGAAGGGCAGTGCTGGGGAGCAGGGCTCGCACCTCAGGGTGGTTCACGGGGGCCCTCAGCCAGCAGGGCAGGGCGGACCCGCGGCCGCCACCTCAGCCCCGGGACTACAGCTCCCGGCCTGCCCCGCGCCCAACAGCCGCTCCCGGCCTGCCCCGCGCGCCTGCCCGCCGCCATTTGAACGGAGCGATGGTGGCCGAGGAGCTGCAGACGGTTGAGGAATGGCGCTCGTATCTGGTCTGCACCCGCGCCGCCACCTTCCGCAACTGGCCCTTCCTTGAGGGCTGTGCGTGCACGCCCGAGCGGGTGAGCCCGGCGGGGGAGCGGGGCGAGCTGGGCGCGGCGGGGCTCGGCGGTGGGCGCTGATGGCTCCTCCCGCCCTGCCTCTGATCTGCTCTGCTCGCAGATGGCGGCGGCAGGGTTCGTGCACTGCCCCAGCGAGAACGGCCCCGACGTGGTGCAGTGCTTCTTTTGCTTCAAGGAGCTGGAGGGCTGGGAGCCCGACGATGACCCGCTGTGAGTGCCGCGGGTGTCCGCGTCCCCTTCCCCCGCTGGGTAGAATTGGGCCTCCCCGGTGCCGGGGGGTGTGTGTGGGGGGAATGGTGGCGTGCGCTCTGTTGTGAGCTGCTGCCCTTTGGTTTTGCCTGGTTTTCTCTTTGCTCCTTTCAGCGAGGAGCACAAAAAGCACTCTCCGCGCTGCGCCTTCATCTCCCTTCAGAAAGATCTGTCTAAGCTGACGCTGCAGGAGTTCTTGAAGCTGGATAGAGAGCGAGTGAAGAACGCAATTGTATGTACATGTCGGCACTGTGATGTTTGCCGCACCCCCGCGATGCTGGAAAAGTCATTTTTACAAGTTTCTAGTCTTGTAATCTTTTCCTTGGCCTCTTGGTTCCTTGCCTCAGTGTTTCCTGACTGGTTCTGTCTCCTTTCCCAGTTCTCAACCTTTACCTCATGGGAGATGTAGAATCCCAGACTGGTCTGGGTTGGAAGGGACCTTAAAGCTCATCCAGTTCCAACCATCTGCCATGGGCAGGGACACCTTCCACTAGAGCAGGTTGCTCCAGCCTGGCCTTGAACACTGCCAGGGATGTGGCAGCCACAGCTTCTCTGGGCACCCTGTGCCAGGGCCTCAGCACCCTCACAGGGAAGAATTTCTGCCTAAGAGCTCATCTCAGTCTCCCCTCTGTCAGGTTAAAGCCATTCCCTTTCTCCTATCCCTGCAGGCCCTTGTCAAAAGCCCCTCTTCAGATTTCTTGTCACCCCTTCAGGCACTGGAAGCTGCTCTAAGGTTTCCCTGGAGCCTTCTCTTCTCCAGGCTGAACCAGCCCAGCTCTCTCAGCCTGGCTCCAGAGCAGAGCTGCTCCAGCCCTTGGGGCATTCTTGTCTTCTGGACAAGGCTTTAGTATAGCCTGCTTTCCCATCAAAGCTGAATGATGCTAAATTGAGTGGTGGACAGTAATGTTATTTTTGTTCTCTGCAGAAAAGAGGGATTTCTCTGAAGGTGAATGATGTTCAAGATGAAGCCAAGACCGTGCGTCGGGCAATAACGAGTTTCGTTTCCTAAGCTCCTGTGGCTTCTTGCTCACCGGTAACACCCTCTGATGTGTGCTCTGGCACTGCTGCTCTGATGGATGGCTGTTTCCTGGACTGCTTTCAGAATGGCCAGCCTTGTCAGAAGCAGACTTGAGGATCTGATGCGCTACATACATCATATTTCTTTTTAATGCAGGGGTTCTCCTGTCCTTCCTGTTAAGGATTACTACTTGTCGCTTTATTTCTTATTTTCTATTTTTTAAACTCAGCTGTTTCTCCTTTAGAGATCCAAAGCCTTGTGTTTCTTGCAAGGGTTGGAAGGCACTTCCATTTTTATCCTGAAACTACCAATGCTTTCAGATGCATTTGGCAACAAAGAGGGGAGGGAATTTTAAAAGTCCTTTGGGGTTTGGGATTATGGCTAATAATGTCTATCATGCCAAATCTTAGTGTGTCTGGTACCCTTGTAAACCTCTGTTTGTAGCTGTTTCTGACTCATGTTGATGCTTTTAGAAATTAAAGTTGAAGGTAAAAGAGCAAAGTTATTTTTACTCTGTTTTCTGGTGGACAATTTAGTGCAATGTGATGAGCTGCACGAAACGCACTGTGAAGTTCACATTGGGAAACAAGCTAATGAGAGTACAGCTTGCAGTGCTACTCATCTTTCTTGTGTACCCTTTAGGCACTGGAAGCTGCTTTAAGGTCTCCCCTTAAGGAGCCTTCTCTTCTCCAGGCTGAACCAGCCCAGCTCTCTCAGCCACCTACTGCTCAAGTGGATTGTCAGACCTCCTTATAATGACCTTGTGTGTTGGAAGGGTTGGTTGGTGCTGCTTCTTGCACAAGCTTGGAAAGAAACCTTGCAGAACAGACACCAGTTGGTGAAGAATTGTGTTGTGAACTGCTGGGGAGGAATAGGAGGGATCCTGTAGAAAATACATGGCTGTCAGAAGGCCTGAGTTGTTTGTACAGGGCTGGTAAGTCTGTAGACGGAACAGGATGTGTGCTAAGATGCTCCCATTATTGAAGAAGCTCAATCTTGGGGGAAGTCAATCACACACTGACACAACCAGTGTTTCTGGGTTTCACAGGTTAGTCCACTGTTCCTTGTCTAAGCTTACTTGTGAACAATGAAATCACTTCATTATTTCCAGCTGTAACAGCTAAATCATATGCTGATTGCCTGCCTGTGTTCTTATTCATGCTTGCATTGCAGCTGTAAATAAAGCAGATAGGGTTTAGCTACTTAAATTCATTCCAACTGTCCTGGTTCAGCTGTAGCAGTTACTTTTCTCCTTCCTAGTAGCTGGTGCAGTGCTGTGTTTTGGCTTTAATCTGGGAACAGTGCTGATAAAACCTATGTTTTTAGTTTTTCTAAGTATTGCTTACTCTGATCAAGGACTCTTTCAGTCTCATGCTCTGCCAGCAAGGAGGGCCACAGGAAGCAGCAGGATGAAGCAGAGACAGGACACCTGACCCCAACTAGTCAGAGGGGTATTCCATACCACAGCACATAATGCATGTGTTCATTGTTTTCCTTTTCCCCTTTTAGTTTTATATTCTCTCCCTTTGTTATTTCCCTTATCATTATTATTACTGGTGGCAGTAGTAGTTTTGTATTATACCTTAAGTTACTGGACTGTGTTATCTTAACCTATGGGATTTACGTTCTTTTCATTTTCTTCCCCATCCCTCCAGGAAGGGGTGGGGGCAAAGAAAAGGGGGAAAGTGAGGGAGTGGATGCATGGTTCTGAGTTACCAGCTGGGCTTAAACCATGACAATAAGGTACTGGAGTTAGTGAAGGAACATGTAGGACTGCATCAACAGGAGCATGGCTAGCAGGTCAAAGGAAGGGATTCTCCCCCTCTTCTCTGCTCTGGTGAGACCCCCCCCTTGCAATCCTGTGTCCAGCTCCGGGGACAACAATATAAGAGGGACATGGAGCTGTTAGAGTGAGTCCAGAGAGGCCATGGAGATGCTCAGGTTGCCCAGAGAAACTGTGGCTGCCCCATCCCTGGCAGTGTTCAAGGCCAGGTTGGACGGGGCTTGAAGCAACCTGGGCTAGTGGAAAGTGGCCCTGCCTGTGTCAGGGGTTTGGAACTGGATGAACTTTAAGGTCCCTTCCCACCCATTCTGTAATTCAGTGATAAATGTTGATGCAGGGTATGTTCAGGATTCCTGGATGCCTGTTGCAGGGACACATCTGTGAGAGATGACTGCTGGGCCTCAGGCAGCCTCTGGCTGTTGAGCATTCCCAGGGAGGTCTCTGCAAGCAGACTGCGGGTACCCTGCAGCCAAGCTAGAGGGTCAGCCTCAGCACTTACCCTAAGAGAACTTGGACACACTCTTCTTCCGATCCAAGCAGAACTGCCTCATGGAGAGCAGTGTTGTTGTGCCTGTGTAGGTGCAAGAGCAGCATACCCATTACCTAGGGAAGCTGTGCTGGTACACGGAAAGTGGTCTAGCAGATTAAACTAAATAAATGAATAGGAGGATATAGAATACATTAGGAGTCATGATGATTTAGGTTATTTTGGTAGGCTTTAGTGTGGTTTATTGTATTAAGTTGAAGTGGATTGGGCAAGGAGTTGAATAGAACAGCAGCTTTCCTAAGAGAAATTACGAGCAATCTTCAAAGCTGGCAGATGCAGGGCCTGTGAGTACTATTTTCTTTGCTCATTTGCAGGTTATTTTCAGATTTGGCTTTGAAAGGAGCTACAGATGTGTGGAGGAGGGTTAATCCTCTCTAAAATTGGAGTACAAGTGCTTTTTTTGGGAACACATCCAAAGACCAGAATGAGTGCTTGCTTACAGTCCTGACTGCTGGTTGGTGTCAGCGCCTTTCTGCGCCAGAAGGGAGATGGCTTCAGCATGCTTGTTAAGGACAGCAACAGTGAGAGCAGGTTGGTCCTCATCGCTGGTGCAGTTTGGGTCAGCTCCCTAGCACACACAGGAGAGGGAAGGTGAGCTGTTAAAAGCCATTAAGTTTCTTCAGCTTCAATCTTGCTTTAATCATAGAATCCCATACTGGTTTGGGTTGGAAGGGACCTTAAAGCTCATCCAGTTCCTACCCCTGCCACAGGCAGGGACACCTTCCACTGGAGCAGGTTGCTCCAAGTCCCATCCAACCTGGCCTTTAATGTTATGCCGGTTGAAGTTGGCAAATGGACTTTCATGCTCAGGACAGAGAAATATTCAAATTGTATGGTATTGTTTCTTTGTGTTTCTTCTGAAGATATTTCTGGTCTTCTAGCTCAAAGCCAGAGTAAATGTATATAATAAGTGTGTCAAACTAGATCCTGCAGTCAGGATGCACCTTACCATACAGTGAAGAGGTAGAGGTTTGCTTGCTTCTGCTATACAGAGGGCTTGACCCTAAACTATAAAATTAATTTATCTTTCATTCTGTATGCCGATGAGGAGCATGCCTTACACACTGTCCAAGTAGGAATTTGCAGAAAACATATACAAATGTAAAATAGGCTGTTTCTTCTCTAAAATGCTCTTTTAATCTGAAAACAGTCAGCTGTATTGCAAGGATGTTGCCTCCTAAGCATGAAGTTGTTAACCAGGCTAACATTCATGCAGTAAATGGCCAAAGAGTTGGAAAAGGTAACTGCAGCAAGCAGTGACTTACTTCACAAAGTAGTTGTTCTACCAAGGGGATTCTTCCTTTTCCATTTGGACCCAGTTTGTCCAGTAGCTGTCTGGACTCTGGCTGTGGAAACACAGAAAACAGCCAGTAGCATTTCACACAGTGAAAATACAACGAGGTGGGTCCTACTCTGCATTTGAGTAGAGGTGGAAAATGCACACAATGGCATGAATGCAGTGTAGCTGATCCTCAGTAATACTAATCCACGTCCTTTCTTTGGGAATGTCTTTCCAAATCTGAGGAAGTGTTGGGTAACCCAGGCTAGCATCTCACTGTTGAGCTCTTGATTCAGTAAACATATCTGCAAATGCTCAGCTTTACATCAGTGCAGATCTCAGAGCTGTACAAAGATCTGATAGCCATAGTAAATTCAACTTGGGCACAAGTTCTCTGCTGGAGGATTAAAGTTTGAGGCTTCCAGAACTTGTGGAAGTATTTTATTTAAAAAACGGGTATGTTTTGCCTCACAGAAGTTCATTTGCTAAATCCTAAACCAGCAAAAACCCAACAAAACCTAAGAGCTTTTCCTTGTATTTCTTCCCAGCCTTCCACCTCATTCTTTTCCCCTTTCGAAAGCCCAGTCACTTGACTGAGCATTTTTATCTCTGTACTCACACCACAAAGCTCTATAACTTCCTCCACCTGTTGAGTTGGCAAACTGATCCAAGCTTAGATTAAAGTACATTTCCCTTTTGAAATGCTTCATGCCATTGCTGGCATAGTAGTAGGGAGTACTTCCAAGACATAGGGTCTCTAGTGGAAGTAAAGCCTTGCTTCTTGCAATAGACTAGCCCTCAGCTGTGCTGACACCTCAGCTTGATGATAAACCTGAGCTGCCTTCAAAGCTTGTTGATTAGATCATCTTCTGCCTCGGTCACAGTCTGTGTGCACAGCAGTTCCAGCACAGCCAAGGGTATGTCCTATGGAGCCAAGCTAAGTAGTACAGTCAGAGGAAGACAATAATGCCTCCACTTGATTTTGCTTCTGAGGTAAAACCTGTAACAAAATCACTCTGCAACAGCCTTTAGGCCTAGGGTCAGTAAATCAGAATGGGTTCAAAAACAAGGGAGTACCAATGTAATTAAGCTTCTAGTAGAAAACAGTTATTTCCAGTTCTGTAATAAATGCCAGTTACCAATGTTCAGGTTTTACATTAAATTGGACTTTTGTCCACTTCCCCCACCCCCTTGTCAGTGTTAAAACCTTTGTATTTTTACCCTTGGCTGCCCTCCATGTTCATGCTGCTCTATAGGGAGGTTTTCCTGTACTGGCAGAAGATACGTACGGGGAGATTATCTTCTTTTTCTATAGGTGTTCTTGACTTTGTTCTCTGTATTTTGTCTCTTGAATGGAAAAGATTATGATCAACTTTGCCTACCAGAAAGGGAAACAAGCATTAGTTCAAAGCAAAGTCAGTATCCTAACAAGAACTTGGGGGAGAGATCTGGAAATAATTTATCCACAAAAATACTTAATTTTGTGTTGAAATCAAAGCAATATTTATCAGTTTTCTACAAGAGAAAGTGATGAAATATCTGTTGCAGATCAGACTGGTTTTAACAAAAGGTTTACACTTCAAGCACTCATAAAAACTTGCTATTTTGAAATGAAGATTCAATGAGATGCAGAGTTTGAGGAGGTTTAGTCTTTCTTTTCTTCTTTCTTTAACTAGCTGCAGCTATTCAACAGGCTTGACTTGGAGTCATGAATTGTTTTGACCAAATACCTTATGATTTTTCAGTGCAGTCTGGCTCCCAGATACTCAAGACCAGTGGACCTAGAGTAGAACTGTTCATCTGTTACTTTAAATTAGAGACATAACCTACCAACATGCAGGAGGGTTGGTAAGGAAATTAGGCAGCATGTATGGACCCTTTGAGCTGGTGCTACCTCGGTGTCTGGAGTCACAGTCACTATTGACACTCCCCAAAACCCCAGCTCCTAGTGCCCTGGCTGCCTCTTGCAAATCCTTAGACTGAAAGCACAAAGCGGATGGATCTTCCATGTGGATTGAAGTATGTCAAATGTCACCATAGGAATTTCTGAATTCTAATCCTGACTTCACAGCTAGTTGATTGAATGAAAGCTTAAGTCTAATATGAGATTCAGAAGCCACTGAGCTCTTAATGCTAATAGAAATGCAAGTTGAGCTTCTCTGAAAACTAGGTCTAGAATGAACATATTTCATCATTTCTTAAGTTTTCCAAATGTGCCAAAGCTGAAGTTCCTGGCACAGCTCAAAAGCAGAGATAATACTGACATCCCTGGCAGTGTTCAAGGCCAGGTCGGATGAGGCTTGGAGCAACCTGGTCTTGTGGAAGCTGTCCCTGCCTGTGACAGGGGGTTGGAACTGGATGAGCTTTAAGGTGCCTTCCAACCCAAACCAGTCTGGGATTCTGTTATTTATGCCTCCTACTGTAAAAGAATATGCAAAGCATCTAAAGTTTTATAACTATAACAAAACCACTGCTATCAGCTGTGACTGCATTCACTAGCCTCCTCAGCTGTCTTTCAGTGAGGAAACATTTCTATGAGTTTTTCATGGGTCCATACATTGCTTAAATCTCAACTCAGCTATTTTGAGACTTAAAGATCAACTTAAGTAGGCTCAGAATGTGCCAGTGCTTTAGTTTGGATGTTTCAGTGTCTGACCTTCAGAAAGCTACTTGTGTATTCTTGACTACTGTATTTAACATAACTGTGACCGTAAAAGCTGGTTGGAGTAACTCTCTAAGACTCGATCTGGAGTTTTGGAAAGCAGGCATTCTTTAGTGCAGAGCTGTGAGCACACGTTAACAGTTTCACACAGGTGATCGTGCCCGTTACTTGCTGACAGTTGCTCTATATTTAGCATATTCATGCATATTCATAGTTTCACCATTAGGTAATTATAATATTTGCATCCTAATTAGACATGCCCTTTCATGCTGAGGGGGGATCCCCGGTGGTTGCCGATAGTCTTCCTCACTGTAGTTACTGAATGACCTCAGTGCTTGCACATGCTTGCAAGGTCCTGGTGCTGAGTTAGCAGTGGTATGTCCTTGCTTCTGTTCTGTTCCAGTCTCACTCCACGCTGGGTGCTGCTCTGCTATCATGAAGGCTAGCATCTTTGATCTTATTTACTGTCTCCTTAGTTATCAGTCCTGTGATTTTCTTTCCCCTGTCAGCCAAACATTCCTTTCTCTCTATGTTAGCAAGTTAGAACAGTTTGCTGCATTCTACTGTGTTAAAGACACACGCTATTGTTAGTTTAAACCTACAATTTAAGCCTACATAAAGATGGGGGAAGAACAAACTCACCCAAACTAGTCTGACTGCCATCCTGTCCATCTGTGACTTCTGTTGCAGCACTCAGGTAACGATTGCTGAACTTCACTGGCTTATTAGTATGAATATTCTGTAGAATTATCAAATGGAGGTAGTTAGTAAGGTTATCACCTAAGGTTGTTATAATTTTAGTAACACAAAACAGTGGTGTGGCAGATGAAAAAAATGTATAGGCTTTTAACATCAGTGTCAAATTAGCACAAGACAAATTGTTATATGTAACTGAACTCTGTTTTGAGGCAAAATAATGTAGCATTTTTTCTAACCTTGTGGTAGTATTTGGTTTGATTTAGAAAAACCAAGTGACACAACTTCACCTAATGAAATGAAGATTCTCATCCAAATGAACATATTCTACCCCTTGAGAGATCTGATTAACTCCTAACTTGTGAAATGATGTGATACACCTTTTCAGGCACCACACAGCAAGGTAAGCTTGTTCAGAGTCTAAACAAGAAATAAGATTTGAATTTTGGATCTTTCAAATGGAGGATTCTCATCTTTGAAAAGTTGGGAATAAATATCTGAGTGGGTTTTAGAACATGGTAATTCTGGAGCTAGGGATTCCAAGTGTTTGATACAGTTAACAGGAATTACAGTAAATGTTATCTCCAAACTATTGAAAAGTACTGGGCTTGTTATGTAAGAACGCAATTTGCACACTGAAGACAAGGAGCATCTCAGCTCAAGGTGCTAGGATCGTCAAAAAACATCAGCTGTAAAACAGAATGTTAATAATAGCAAACTAATGAAATGCAAGATGATAGCAACACAACCATGGAGCTTGGCTTAATCAGGTAAAGATATCTGTTCAGCCATTAGAAAGATTCCTTTCTCTGAAGTGGTAAGTTATACCTTCTCAACAAAAGAATTTATGGTTTTGACCTGAATTTAAAATACACAGGTGTTACACTCACTGGTCCAGTGACAGCTTTACACCAGCTGCCTAACAATGGGCCTAACCCCCCCAAACTAACCTTGTTAATAGCAAGAGCATAATTCAGTGTAATAGTGACTTCACAGTCATCCTCACAGATGGTAGCAGAATTAATCTAGAGGGAAAAAGCCATTGTTAGTATCTAATACAAACAGTACACAGAAACAGTTTTAGGAATAAGTCTTGCTTTTGCTTATGATGTTTGTTTATTATGGAGCCAATACATCAAATCACACATGTGGCCTCTGCCTACTTGTGATGTTGTACCAACACTTCCCACCTCACTGAGGAAGGGGCAGGTGGTATTTTGAGTAACTGGAAATATCAAAATGACTGACATGCCAAATGAATGCAAAAGATTTAATAATGCTATGCTTCATGCAAGCTCAATCATTCTCTACCCAGGTTTTGCAGCTGTGTGACAGGCTGTGTTGCTCTTAGGATTCCCTGCTCCAGGAGAACTGGTTGCTGCTTTAGTTGTAGTAGCCTGTAGAGGAGCAGTCTGTAGTAAAACTTGCATAACTTTCTATATGCTTAAGTGGGTCCAGAGAAGAGCAGCAGAGCTGTTGAAGGGTCTGGGCACAAGTGTGATGAGGAATGGCTGAGAGAACTTGGGCTGTTTAATCTGGAGAAGAGAAGGCTCAGGGGGGACCTCATCACTCTCTACAACTACCTCAAAGGAGGATGGAGCCAGGAGGGGACTGGGCGATGCTCCCAAGGAACAAGGAACACAGCAAGAGGAAACAGCCTCAAGCTGCAACAGGGGAGATTTACACTGGATATTGGGAACAATTTCTTCCCCAAAGGGCAGTCAGGCATTGGTACAGGCTGCCCAGGGCAGTGCTGGAATCACTGTCCCTGGAAGTGTTCACAGACCGTGTAGATGAGGCCCCAGTGCCATGGGTTAGTGGTGGCCTTGGCAGTGCTGGGGAACGGTTGGACTGGATGAGCTTGAGGGTCTTTTCCCACCCAGCTGATTCTATGATTCTTTGATTTTATATCAGTTCACTGAGACAGTACCTCTGGCAAGAAGACTATTGAAGTTATACAAAAATGAGTGCATGGTGGATTATAAAGAAGTGGAATGAAGTTGATGAGGTTTATATTACAGCAAGGAGAGGTTTTTGAGATAAGGTTGATTATATTTCTAATTCACATGACAAAAACAGCGTTAAACACACATAGCTGGCATCTACTTTGAATCACTTCTGTTACTTTTTCTGCTACATTTGTACTAGCACTAATGGCCTATTCTCCCTCTAGAGCTGTTTTTAGCCTGGGTCAGTCCCTGATCCAGTCCACAGGACATTGCCCCATGTGCTGGCAGCACCTAGGAATCAGTGTGAGGGGATTCAATTCCTTAACCCAGCAGGACTGCCAAAGCAAGCAATACAGTGCGGTACTGAACAGCAAGGATAATTGAGCACAGAAATGGACTGCCTGGGGCAGTTGTGAAATTCCATTGTTGGTGAGTTTGAAAAGCTTCAAGGCAAACATCTGTCAGGAACTGTTTAGGCAGAGTTGATCCTCCCTCAGGACAGGGACCAAATGATCTCTCAGTCATCCCAGCCCTATCTCCTAGGACTACAATCTCTAGTTTCCACCTTCTTGGTATCACTCCTTTAATCATTTTAATGCAGTTTAGTGACATTCCCCTTTAATCATTTTAATGCAGTTTAGTGACATTCTGAAGACTACATTTCCAGTAGGAACAAAAATACCCCGTTTCTGTAAGACTGGTATCATTTACACTAGAAGTAGACTATAGCCAAAGAGAATTGATGCTATCTGCTGGTATCATCCAGCCCTGAGCAGAGGCAAGCATATAATCTAAATCCTATTTCTAGCAGAGCTTATTAAACTGACCAACTAGTGATCTCTTTTTCTTGATTGCCTGCTGTGGGATACTGTAAAAGCAGCTGAGTAAGGGCTTTCTCGCTTCCATGACTTCTCATACAGCTTTGAGGTGAAAGAAGAGAAACTGCCATTGGAAAGAAAGCAGAAAAAAAACCTTCAGTAAAAGACTGAGCAGAAAATGGAAAACAAAACAAGACAAACTACACAAACAGGTCAAGGTCTAGAGAAAAGGGAGGCATTTATTTTTCCAGTGTTTATGTAGCAGCCACAGCAATTTTCTCATGACAATCCATAGGAAGATATTACATGCTCCTTCTTACCTTTCCCATTCGAGGTTCTCCAATCAGTGCTCTGAAGTCAAGGTTGTTCTGAGCATAGCTTCTAAGGTGAGCACAGACATGATCCAGCTGTTTTCTCCAATAACCTGATCAGAGAGAGTTAAGCAGGAGAAAAAAAATCCTAAAATTATGCTTAACATTTCTTCTCATACAATAGATGGTTTAAAAGGACTTATTTTCCCTAAAAAAAAGGTTAAATACTGTCTTGTCCATAGCTTATAATTAATTCTTAGGGTAGCTCTATTCGTAACAAAACCATGCCTTGGAATTGTTACTGGGAATCAAAACTGGCCGTGTGTGAAGGGAAACCTCACACTATTCCACAAGATTAAAAACCAAACAAACCCCCATATTACAGCTAAACAGTTGTGTATTGTTGAACTGATTTGCAGTCGGTTTGAGATCACTGACAGGTAACAATAAGCCAGATCTGAAAACTGCAGGCATAGAAACTTACCCTATACAGCATTCTGGCCTGTGTAAATTATTCCCCAGATAAATGCCTTTTAAGTATATCATAAAATCACAGAATGGTTTGGATTGGAAGGGACTTTGAAAACTGAAAACTGAAGTTGAAATTTTGCCAGGATAGTAAAACTAAAATCTCTAAAAATTGCAAACTTTTCAATGACAGCAAAGTGATTCCATAAAGAACCAATTGACCAAACCAGGGACTGAAACAAAATTGTCTGCAGTACTGATACAGGAGCCCGTGCATGGACAGGCTCTGCAGTGAGTGATGTAGATGTACTGATACCTTTGCAGGCCTTGAAGATGGGGGCCTACAAGATGCCCCAAGGTTTCTACCAACCCTGGGTTTTGTAATCCTCTTTAAGAATCCCTTTCTCTAGTTTACTTCCCTTTACTTCCAAAACTTCCACAATTCATTGCATAACAGGACCCCAAACAAATTCTTCAGATACAAAAGCCTCATATTTTTTAAGAGCTGTGATCTATTGCTGTTGTAGCTGTTGATGGAGATCAGTGGCTGAATTCTAAGGCACTGCATTTACAAGTGACTAGTGGGAAGACAGACTTGTAAAGATGTAAATCAGCGTCCTACTGATGGCACATTCCAGGATTATAAGATCTTTCAGAAAAAGCAAGGTCATACATTGCATCTTTGTATAGAACACATAAAATCAAAACTCCTAACCTTTTCCAGGACTAATAGCTGTCAGGAGAGGCTTATGATCACTCATCTTTTCCAGTTTTTCTTTTTGTGAAATCAGCTCAAGCTCCTTCTTTTCCAACAGTTTGCTTGATGGGTAAAAAAGTCCAATGGTTTGAGTTCCTTTATCTTCCCTTTCTTTTAGTTCTGCCCCTGATTTGGGCAAGGAAATAGGAAGAGGCTGCCAGGCAACTTGAGCTTGAAATCGTTTAGGCTGTGTGTGGGGTGGAGGGGAAGGAAAAGTGTATGTAATATAATTAGATAGATTGAGATGGCTTATAAGCAAACATTGCGTAGAACAGTACACAGAATTGTCCAGGAATGAAAAAGCTAGCAGGAAGGATCATTAACAATTCCTGATTTTAGTTACCAGTCTGTAACAATGATGCAAGTGGACACTAATATTCAAGCAAAAGCAAAACTCTCCACCACTGCCAGCAGTATGTATGCTTTTGCAGGACAAAAGCTGGCCTTGGCTAAGTATTGTGTTCTTTCTCAAAGCAGAGTTTTAAGAACAGTGTTAAATGTGCATGAAAGAATACCCTGTACTAGCAGGACACAAATAATTCACAGGTAGTAAGGTAAAAGTACTTAAAGAAGTAAGACTTTGAAAAGGTGATTGTTTCTCACTTTGCTATTTAGAATAAGGCTGGATTAAGGCCTTTGGCTAAAGCTACTATTTGGCAGAAACCAGTTCTCAGTAGAAACTTATCCTCGTTTTTGCCCTCAGCAAGCTCATAGGCCACAGCCTTGTCTCAAAGAGGAAATGAATGAGGTTGTGCTGATCTCCACCTGCAGTGGACTAGGCTTTTAGCTGTCTTCAAACCCGGCTTTGTAATACTGTGTGTCTTACCTCAGAAACCCCTAGTGAGTCCCCAGCATCCATGAGACTGCTGTTGGGAGAACTCACCCTTGATGGGGGCTCTATGTAAACACCACAGGACCCACAGAAGCGAGCGTACGGATGATTGTTTGTGCCACACTTGAAACAAGAAAAGTAGGATGGAGGAGGTCCAGGCTGGAAAGTCCAATGAAACACTTGTCACTACAGCAACATCTGATGAGTGGTTCAGGGATGATAAAAGCAGTGGCATGAATTAAAAGGAAGTAAGTAGCACTCTCAGAAGCTATTAGGTAAGTAATATTAGGCAGCATAACAGGTTGCTAACACACTGGTAGATGCAAGACAGCAACTTTTCAGATATCTCAGCATTATGCTATGGGGGCGAACATATTTCAGACAGATCTACCACTATGGTATGTTATTTAAACTGAAAAAAAAAATACTGATTTTCTTTGGCAAAGTCCTGTCATTACTAGTCTGGTGCACTGATGCTGAATATTGACTGCTATTCTTTCCAGTTCAATTCTACCACCACCTCCCCAGAGCACCCACAGTACAGCAGAGGACCACTGGTTACGTAGGCAGAGGTGAGTGTTTCAACTTTAATGCAGACTCAGCTCATAGAGAAAAAGAGTAGCTATGGGAGAACTTGCATTAGGTCAGTTTATACATTGACCTTTGGTGGATCAGTTACTTCGGCATAACACACAGCTATTGCCTCTCAGGTGAGCTGATGCTTATTGACTCACGGTAATTTGTTTACATACCTAAAACCTTAAGTCACCTACTGATGTGGGGTCTAGATGTCATCTAAGCCTTTCATTTTTCTTACGGAATCCTATGTGCTTGAAGTACTTTGATAGTAAAAAGCTGTATACTAACTGACAGAGTTTTGCAAAGAGGAGTTTGAAAATGCTGCAGGTCACAGATGAGTAGAAAGAGATTTGTCAGCACAAAGATGGATAGCACGTGCCTTGGCTCCACACCAGTCACAGAAACGGGCATCACTTTGGTTAACACGATGGCATTTTGAGCATGAAACTGTCTTGCTTTGCTGGCTGTGGTAAGGTGGGGGGGTGTCCCCGAACATGGGCTAATTAAAACAAAACAAGAATTAGAGAGAAAATACTTCTTATGAGAAAAGGATCACAAGCCAAATAAGAGGGAAAGCAAGCTACTTTGATAACATGAAGTAATAGCCAACCTAAAAGAATTATTTCATAGAAGCACCACAGAATCCCAGACTGGTTTGGGTGGCAAGGGACTCATCCAGTTCCAGCCCCCTGCCACAGGCAGGGAAAACGTTCCACTACAGCAGGTTGCTCACCTGAGAATAAGCATCAGACTGACTTGGCTCTGACCTGTAATTTGTTATTATTTTTTCATTACAAACCCACAGTAAAACGTGGCATTTATTAATTTTAAAATATTTTTAGTAGAACTAAAGAAAGAAAACCCAACCTTATCAATCAGTGTCCTTTACACTGTTCACTAATATGGCCCCAAGTAGACTCAGCATTAAGATGGAGGTTTCCCTGTTGATAAACACAAAACACAACCCAAAACACAACAGGTATTTTCCTTTGTACCTTTCTTGGTAGTAGTATGGCAGGGAGAGTGTGTTCAGACAATGAGTTTTCTCTCACTTTGGTATTTGCTACCTAAGGTTGGTTTGGGGTTTTTCATTTTGCACTTTTTTACCTCATACAAGTTATATATTCCCTAGCTTCTACTACATTTAACTTACGTGGGTATGCAAAAGAAAACAGATTTTTTCAGCTGAAACTTCTAGAGGTAGATTATAGAACCTAGTTAGCACAAAGAGGTCTTAAAAACAGTTTGTTAGGTTTTGCCTCAGGTCTTATGCTGTTTATTTTCTCTGCAAATCAGGAGTATGGATAAGGAACAGACCCCAGGAAAACTATTCTGATTGCAGACACCACAATAGCAAATAAGCAAACAGGCAATAGCCCTATTTTCATCTGCGGCCTCAACTCCAATTTGATGTGATTTTGGGGTTCACTTGGAAGGTAATATTTACAGGATCACAAGTCTAAATATGCTCCAAATCTAAGTTATTTAATAGCCATTAATAGTAATATCAGATTTGTTGCTCATAATTAATTATTCAGGAATTACTATTGGTTATTGCTATTTAACCATTTTTAGTAGTCAAATTTCTGATTACTATTAATAATTCTTTGTAAACATTTAACTTTCTCCCCTAGCTACTACAGGTCTCACCGTTCAAGGCATATGCCTAACTACATATGCAGCTACGTCTTGATATCTACAAGCAGTGAAGCACTAAGCATATGTTTATTTTAGGTAAGTACAACTTCCTACTGAAATTCACTGTGAAATAACACCTCAGTGGTTGTACAAGAGACCTTTGCCTCTAGCTACTAACAGTTTAAGAACTTGGGATGTTTGTGTTATAATCACATTCTTAACTGGCAGGTACACTTATGGTTAGCTGGACATTTGTGATGGAGCATCTGTGGGAGCACTGAGCTTGAATATCCCAAGGGGGAGGGAATCTCTGGTTTTGTAACATAGGGACACAGGGATATGGCTTCAGTTTTCCAAAGGAAAAGAATGCTGTGCTTTGGTTTGATTAAGCCTAGTGTGATAGATGGAAGAAGACTTACCATTTGTATTTCAGGCAGCCTGCTTTCACAAGTCACACAGTGTTTATGGTGAAGAGGATTTCCTGTGCCACACACCTGACAAATTACTTTGCCCTTTTAAAGAGAGAAAGAATACATTTTACTCAGTATTTGACTTGATTGTACAAAGTGCTGTGGTTATTCAGCCCTGCAGGGATAAGAGATCCTGAAAGTCTGTGTGTGAGCTTCACGTTTTAGTTAGGCCATATTGCCTGCTCATCACACATCTATGGTTCCTAATGACAATTTAAACTATGGTACAGTTCCCTCAGGAGATCCAACATCAATACCTCTAGATCTTTGCATGTACTAGTTTACTTAGTCATTGCGTTCACATCACCAGAAAGTCCAGTATCTGCAAGGAAAATCATTATTATCCCCCTGAGGGTGCCCTAGCACAGGAACTATTAACAGCGAGTTTCCAGCAGAACTGAGAATAATGAGTCTACTATTTTGATTGTTGCCACCAAACAGTTCAAGTGTGTCTTTGTACCTACATCAGGGCTGCCATAAAACATCAGCTATGGGGCAATGTCTATAATCTACCAATTGTGGACATGCAGTATCAGTTCTTTCCTCCTCACACCCTTTTCCCTGACCAGAGGGGTTGAGGAGGACCCCTACATGCATCCACGTACCTGATAGGGAGTATTTTGTAGGGCACATTTTGTCTATGTGAGACCACCAGCACTTTTGGATTACTAAGATTGTGCTTGAACATTTTGGGCATCTACCCAGTGCCGTAGTCCTGCCAGCTCGCCTCTGCTAAGCACTTACAGTCAAATAAGGTAAGCAGAGTAATGAGGATATATTTAACAAACTTAAAATGCTTAGTAATGCTAAGGCCAGAAATTATAGAATCATGGAATATCTCTTCCTGAACACAAGTGCATGTGTTCCTGTCATTCACACTGCTACATCATGTGCTCTTCCATATGCCTTCCTGAGCTTATGTGGTTTATCTTTAATGATTATTTCTATTCAAGGTGGTTTTAATCCTAACTCTTAAAACTGTCATAATGAAATTATACAAAACCAAGCTGGTGCACAATAGTTGTAATGAAGTCATCTGTTAGAAAAACGCATGCCAGGAGGTAAACTGCTCTTTTGTTAGGTTTATTCTTAATTACCTTTACGCACATGTTGGTTTGGGGCTGCAGCTGTGGAGCTATTGGTGACTCACATACAATGCAAGAGGGTGTATTCATTGGCACAAGATGTCTGCATTCAAGACATGGCGCCATCTGAAGAAAAAGAAGCATCACAGCATGTCATAAGGGTCATCATGAGATTTTCAGTGTTTTCCTGGTTAGAGTTTACATCAGCAGCAAAGTCACTGGAAACACAGCAACTGAGAGCCACAGATGCTGATACTGATCCTTAAAGATAAAAGGCTATTGAGAAAATATGAAGACAACTGGAAAGAGTGACTTTACTGACAACTAAAATATGCCAGAAAGATACTAAGTTAATTTTCAATAGAATTAAATAGCTACTGTAAAATGTAGTAGTTGAAATCATCTTAATTATGAACCTAATCTAAAGAGGTGGTGAATATTCTCAGTCATCACTTGAAACTACAGCATTAATCCAGACATTTTTCTGATGATACAGGAAAAAAGAATTACACCACTGACTTGTTAGATCAAGTTATTATCTCTTGGGAAGAGCTTAGAGAAGACAGTTACAGGCATCACCAAAAACTTGGTGCTCTTACATATATGCCCACACATGCCACCATGTAAGGTTTCAGGCGTATTAGATGGATCTTCCACAGCAATGACATAAGCTCTAGTTAGCACTGGAGTAAGATACACGTGCAGGTCCTGAAGATGCAGTGGTGGTTCTTGAAGGATGAGAGGAACCTGAATTTGGTAATGTTTCCTAACACTGGCAAATAAAATACAGTTTACTTTTTCATTGTTTCACTTATTAAAATATATGGCGCTTGAAGGAATTTATGGTTAGTTTTGCCCATTGTTTAAGAATTACATTGGATCCAGTGATACAGGTATTGAACAAAATCATAAAATCACAGATTAGTTTGGGTTGGAAGTGATCTTAAAGCTCATTCAGTTCCACTCCCCTGCCACAGGCAGGGACACCTTCCACTAGACCAGGTTGATCCAAGACCCTGTGTCCAACCTGGCCTTGAACACTGCCAGGGATGGGGCAGCCACAGCTTCTCTGGGCACCCTGTGCCAGGGCCTCAGCACCCTCACAGGGAAGAATTTCTTCCCAATGTCTCATCTCAGTCTCCCCTCTGTCAGGTTAAAGCCATTCCCCCTTGCTCTGTCCCTGTAGGCCCTTATCAGAAGCCCCTCTCCAGATTTCTTGTTGGCCCCTTTGGGCACTGGGAGCTGCTGTAAGGTGTCTGCAGAGCCTTCTCCTCTCCAGGCTTAACAAGCTCAGCTCTCTCACGTCTATCTCAAGAGCAGGTGTGCTTCAGCCCTTGGAGCATCTTTGTGACCTCCTCTGGACTTGCTCCAACAGCTCCACATCCCTCTTATGTTGGGACCATGAAGGAGTGACTAATGGAACTGCCAGCATTGCAGGTGTAATTTGCTGAAGAATTTGTTTTCTCCAGAGGTAAACTGTTGATTGTTATGGTGTTTTGCTGACCTGTGATCCTTCAGGGGCTGGAAAGCAGCGTACTGGCACAGGTGGGATAGGACATCCACATGCCTGACAGAAGTGAGCCAAGGGGTCAGACAGGCGAGGTGCAGAGCAGCATGCACATCTGAAAGTAAGAACAAACTGGCTGTACTTGTTTTGGTATTGCACTGCTGCATAATAATGAATAATCTGGAACTTGCTGTGACAGGGCTTAGGCCACTGATTTCTCAGTTGCTGTTTCCAGGCTGTGGTGTCCATCAGACTATGCCCCAGCATTCATGACAGGAGGTTCTGAACTATAAACAGCTTTGCAAGGTAGAAAGCTCTCTGGCTGCTATGGAGGTAAAGTCTGCTGACATACAATCTGTATCATGCCTCGCTGCTGCACCATGGGGAACCACTGATGTAGATCACAGAAGCCTTCTAATACTGACAAACGCTAAAGTTCTGTGAGACTACTCCCATGAGCAGTTTTTACTTACAGCAGTGAGGGCTGTACTTCAGTTTGAAAAGACAGCTTTTCCTCTGATCCTACAGGTGCTAGGAGTATTCTTTTAAAGGCTGATAAGATAGTAGATAACTGTCTATGGTGAAGTGTAAATAAAACTATATGTAAGAGAAAGACTTCCTGAAGCCCTGCCTAGATCATACTACTCAGTTATGACCCAGAGTCTGTCTTTGCTTTCCTCATTTCCACAGAGCCCCACAACATTATCAACTTAGTTGCAAAAGGCAATTGATCAGTTACTTTCCAAGGACAAACATGTTACCAGAAGTCACTTACTTGAGGAAATCTGTCTCTCTCTGGATCCTTGACAGCTGTGTGCTTGCTAAGCTTCTCCTGCTAGTCGCTGCAGCAGAACTAGCAAACTGAAATAGAAGTTATTCTTTAGCCTGAATAAGCAAATATTTGCAAAATATATGTAACAGGAGAAAATCAGCTAAAGAAGTTATTTGAGGCAAACTGCACTGAAACACATTGCTTTAAGGAATACCTACTACCCTTGATTTCTCGTTAGCTGCATTAAAGATCCACAGCTTCTTCCAATAAAAATAAATCGCTATTTACTTCCAAGACACCTTTACTGAATATTAAATATCAACTTGCCAACATATAGCAATAAGTATTTGCTAATTGCAGATTCAGTAAGGAAACAGAAGAAAATTAGTAGGAATCTAAGTATTGTTAGTTTGTTTTGCCTGGTTTTGTCCTTACTGATAATTGTTTTGCTTTGGGCCTTCCTATTCTAGCATGTCATTACCAGCAAATTTAAATGAGTACTGTATAATATAGCCCAAAGCATTAATTTCTGAGAGATTATATGAGTATGATCACACCTCTTCATATCTGTATTGTTTTGGAGCTCAGTTTTGATGACAGCCTTTTACAGTTTTCCTCAACTCCTACTTGCTTACCTGTAATGACTCTAGAGGTGGTGCTGAGATGGATTCCTCGCTGTACTCTGCTGTTTCCGAATGGCTGGCAAGGAGCTGTGGTCCTTGCAGGGACCTGTGAGTAGTCTTTCTTCCTGCTTCCAAGTCTAAAATTACAACAGTGTTATTCCACTATCATTAACTTCATGCAGTTAACATACATGAATAATAAGTTAAATAACATGAATATTACATGCCCTTGTCTTTTTAAATTAAAATAGCTGAGCATATTTAAAAGTGTATTTGGCATCCAGATTATGGGTTCAAATAAACTGCGTGGAATTACAGGATATTAATCTAGAAGAAACCTCATGCCTCTCTGAAAGAGCTTACTTTTGTGTTTTTCTCTATTTATAGTGTACTTCCTGCCTGCTCAAAAAGAAACCCATCTCCTAAGAGAAATTAATGAGTAAACATTAACACAACTCCTTACTCTTAAAGAACCCCATTGCTGTTACCATGGAACAGGCATTATCTATAGAGAAAATACGGGTCAAGCTTTCATTTCTGCTTTGTACATTTATTTTGGAATCTTACTGCAAGCAACTCCCAGTAAAAAACTCTACAAAGGATTTGCAATCCTGTCACTTTAACAGCATTTCTGTCACAGAAGGAAATATTGACTGGGCCTTATCATGATGCTGAGAAATGAATGACATTTAAGTATGGTTTTAGGAAGTAATGTGGAACATATGGAAGGTAATCTTTGTTCTCTATTTGCAGCATTGTGCAATCTAAATTGGAACTCCCAGAGGATGTTCTGTCTTCTGAGATGGTTTTAAAATTACCCATGTTTTACCAGTGATACAAGAGGAAAACATTACACTATTTTCAGCTAAGACAGAAGCCTGTTTCAGCTTTATGAAGCAATACTACACCTTGAAAATCTTGGGGTGCTTCAATCCAGGCAGGCTTGATTTCCACATTGACTCCATTCTTCTTTGGTTTTGTAATAAATACACCACCTTTCTTCTCCTAAAAAGTAATTCCATTTGAATACTAAATGAAATTTTGGTTTTGCTCTAATCCCCCCTTGCTATATTTATTTGTGATGATTTTCAAAGTACATGGTTAAGGTTTTTATTCTGATGCAAGCATTTGAAAAGCTTAAATTCTAAGTGCATTTTTAAGATAGTTAACCTGAACTGGTCATAAAAGACCAGTGACAAAAAAAAAAAAAAAAAGGAAACAAAAAAATAACGTGTCCTCTTAAAATTTAAATATTACAAAAAGGACCAATACAGCAAAGATGGGCAAAGAGAGAAAATAAAATGTATTAAAAGTATATGCAGTCAAGGTTTAATCTCTAAGTTGTATCATACGTACAACATCTTACATTCATACAAAGGGTTACAATTTCTAAAACATACCTGAGTGGTGATATCTTGTAGGAGATTCTTGTCATCCTCTTCAACAGAGGAAAGGGCATTTGGTTGTTTGAACTCTACCAGAAACACCTTTGTTACAACTGTACTCTCCCTGCAGTCCCTGAAAATAGGTTTTCACAAAGCTATAGACATCTCACAAATCCATGTGCAGCAGCAAGTAAATCACTGATGGACATGGCTCATTTGCTGGAACAGCCCTTCCAAGCTTACAAGTTGGTAAGTATAATCCTGGGCAACACTCTCATGAACTGCTCCTTTGTTTTGTTTTGTTTTCAGTTTAGAACATACATGATACAAGGTTATCAATAAAACATACAGATACTTTAATCCCTCAACATCTTTTACACATAAAACTCTTGATATTCCTGTGTCTGCTTTCTGGAGCGGTAGTATTTGCCAGTGCTGCTGAAAATAGAAGAGAGCAAGATTTTTTTTTCCCCTTGCATAATACCTGCCATGACAGAACAAGGGGGAATGGCTTTAACCTGACAGGAGATTTAGATTAGACATTAGGCAGTTCTTCCCTGTGAGGGTGTTGAGGCCCTGGCACAGGGTGCCCAGAAAAGCTGTGGCTGCCCCATCCCTGGCAGTGTTCAAGGCCAGGTTGGACAGGGCTTGGAGCAACCTGCTCTAGTGGAAGGGGGTTGGAACTGGATGTGCTTTAAGGTCCCTTCCACCCCAAACCATTCAATGATTCTATGATAATCCAACTGCACAAGCACATAATGGATAAAGCGAATAAGAAAGTGAAGTCAGTGCAACCCATGCAAATCACTTTGATTGCAGACTGGCTGGGGAAAGAGGCGTTTGCAAGGTATGGAATGCTTTAAACAACACAAATCGAGGCCATGACTAAGATGTCTGTCCCTTGCCAAAATACAACTGGAATAAAACAGGACACATACTTTGTAACTGCAAGTGCTTTGACCATTATTTTCCCAGCTGGTAACATGATAGGACCCTTATATTTAAAAGTGTTATGCTCTCCACAGCCAGGTTTTCTAAAGAGTTCTGGCTTACTCCCATCTAAAGTGTAATAAATAGAGACCTCAGGTGTATCTGAAAGACACAGAAAAAGTAATTAAACTATATTCAACCTGTGAAAAACAAGCTCTACACTTCACAGTACTCACTTCTGGGCATGATTTTTCTCACATAAAAAAATAAACAACTTCCATAAATGTCTGAATGCTTGGGACCAAAACTGTTTATCCCATGAAAAATGAGTTACTCAACAAATATTTCTCTTCACAAAGTAGCTGTGCAATGGCTTTGCATGAAAACAGTGCAACAACTTGTCTGTTCTAATGACAGAAGAGGTATTTGCTCCCATGGTAAAAGGTGACATTTCAAATATTGGAAGGAAAACCTTTCGGGTAAGCCTGGCACGTGAGACTTCCACACACTGTTTTTGCAGTCAAAGCAAAATGCAACAGCTCAAGAGCCTGATCTTGGAATCAATTAAGACTGCTAACGTATATGAAATAACTCGTATGTCAATAACAGTTTGAATGCATAAAATTAAGTTTATTTGGTGTATCAAAACATGTTGGTTAATTTTGTAAGTTCCTTAATGAAATGCTCTCTCATAAAAATAATCCTTAAATGCAAACAAAAATATAGAGGCTAAAAGTTTCAAATGAACACATAAGAAAAGCTTTCACCTGGAGTCAGAGCTTTTATTCATACCTGATTTTATTTCTACAAGAGTATTTGTGTCTATTTCATGTTTAGCCTTCCCTGGAAGAGGGATTCGAAGTGGTATGACCTGAGGAACCGAGACAGAGCCAGCCGTCATTTTTCTCCACAGTGATCTTTGAGAAGAAAAAACAGAAAGGCAGACCATAATTTTTCTAAACAGAAGAATCCTTTGAGAGATACTTTGAATGTGATTCCTGTCTTCATTTGTTTCTTTTAAAAGAGAGAACACTGGATTCTTTAAACTGTTATTTCTTATTAATACTTGCATGATCTTCACATTGAAAAGGAGAAAGGTCCTAACGACCACCCCAATTCTAATTTATTCTCCTGTTTTAGAACGGTGAACAAAGCTTGAGATGAGCACTGTTGCATTCATTTCACTTTAAACTTCCTTGTCCGAGCCTGATTTCTATGTATTCCAGTGGAACAGCTTTATCATCATACATCAATGATACATGGTACAACCGAGTAACAGGGAAGTATCTCCACCCTAATGGCAGATTGGAGCCAGCCTCTTGTTTCATTGCAGCCATCTGAATATATACAAGATGTCTTGAAAAGGGATAAAGCAAGACAGCTACTGCTTAAGCTTATCTCAGCTATTGTGTGCACTAAGAATATACCCATAAAACAGGTGCCAAACATGATTTATCATAATTTACATAGTCATTATCATGTCACACAATTCAAGAATGAAAAATTGCATTTGGATACGATAACATTTCACAGTACAAAAAGATGTACTCTAGATCTTGGGAACTGATACTTAGGGCCAGGAAACATGCCTACACTAGAAGCGTTTTGTTCTGTAATCACCTCTTTAATCCACCAGAAACATCTCTTACGCTATCCATCAATGCAGACAGTAATGATTCAGCACGGGAGGAGTTTGTTAGTCCATGCTCTGACTGGGGCTATGCTGAGGTAAGCCACAATGCTGCCCGTGGGTGCCCATCTCTTTTGCTGGCTTGCCTGAAACAGTGGTTAAGGACTGTGGCAGTTCTCAGTCAGACTTTCTTGGACTGCATGCAGTAGCGGGGAGACACGATGGGTTTTTACCTGATGCAAGAGGGCAGAGAGTATCTTTCCTCAAGGACCTGCCTGCTCTTGGAACATCTGGACCAAAAGCACAGGACCTCATTTCAGCCTTCTGGGAGCCCACTACTGGTGGGATACAATGGTCCTGCCGCCATCCCCAGCATGCCCAGCCCCTGCCCTGGCCTGGGCTCCATCCCTGCCTGCTGGGTCAGGCCCTACTTCCTGTACCCCCACACAGCCCACCCCACCTTACCCCACTCCGTCCTGGGCCACCCCACTCCATCCTGTCCTACAGCCCTGAGCACCCCACTTGATCCCATAGAATCATAGAATACTTAGGGTTGGAAAGGACCTTAAGATCATTCAGTTCCAGCCCCCCTGCCATGGGCAGGGACACCTCACACTAAACCGTGTCACCCAAGGCTCTGTCCAACCTGGCCTTGAACACTGCCAGGGATGGAGCATTCATAGCTTTCTTGGGCAACCCATTCCAGTGCCTCACCACCCTTACAGTAAATAACTTCCTCCTTATATCCAATCTAAACTTCCCCTGTTTAAGTTTTAATCCATTACCCCTTGTCCTATCACTACAGTCCCTAATGAAGAGTCCCTCCCCAGCATCTCTATAGGCCCCCTTCAGATACCGTAAGGCTGCTATGAGGTCTCCACGCAGCCTTCTCTTCTCCATCCCACAACCTTGACCACGCCACTTGACGCCTGCTACCAAGCCCCTGCTCAATCCTGGCCACAGCCTTGCCCACCCCAATTGATCCCACTCCACCCCAGACTTCTTGATCCCTGCTATTGAGCCCCTTGTCGATCCCATCCCCCAGCCCTGTCCACCCCATTCTATCCCGCCCCACAGCCCTGTCCATCCCGCTCGATGCCGCCCCACAGCCACCCTCACCCCACGGGATCCTCGACCCCCGCTCCGCTCCCCGTTACCACAGACGCCGCTCGCTTGGCCCCTCCCCTGGCGCCGCCGGCGCGGCCGCCCATTGGTTCGCGTCCCGTTCCTCAGCAACCAGTCCCTGCCCGCTCTTCTTTCCGTCGCGCCGGCTCTGACGCTCACTTCCGGGCCGCCCGGTGGGGCTCTCGCGGCTGCACGGCCCGGCCCGGCTGAGCCATGGCGGAGGTGAAGGTGAAGCCGGAGGTGCCCGACCCCATGGATATCGAGAGCAGGTGCGGGGGGACGCGCTGGGGGTGTGTGGAGGCTGGCAGGGAGGTGATGGGGGGGAGGCCAGGAAACAGGTCTGAAGGGGAGACGCGGTGCTGTTGGGGCAGCGTGTGTTTTGTGTCAGGGCAGAGAGGTGCTTAGGTGGCAGTGGGGGGTGGTTCTAGTTACTTACAGCTGCTCTGGAGGTTTTCTGTTCTGGGAAGGGGATTGTGGCCTTTCTGCGTTCTTCCACAAGGTGTTTCATCAGTATTTGCTTCTCTTATGCTAGTATAGTACTTCCTATCAGAGCCTTTTGTATAGAGAAACTGTAGAGGGATCTCGAAACCTGTCGTGTTAATAATGAGACCAACGTCAAAGTGGAGCACCCTTTTCAGTGTTGTTACAGAGGAAAGGCAGTTTGTCCAGCAGGTGCAGCAGCATGCTTGTCAGCATGGCAAATAGATGCCAAGTACCCTCAGTAGATGTGACTAGGAATGTAGTCATAGGACAGGGAACGGTTTTAAACTGACAGAGGGAGATTTAGATGAGACATTAGGAAGAAATTCTTCCCTGTGAGGGTGCTGAGGCCCTGGCACAGGGTGCCCAGAGAAGCTGTGGCTGCCCCATCCCTGGCAGTGTTCAAGGCCAGGTTGGACACAGGGGCTTGGAGTAACCTGGTCTAGTGGAAGGTGTCCCTGCCTGTGGCAGGGGGTTGGAACTGGATGAGCTTTAAGGTCCCTTCCAACCCAAACCAGTCTGGAATTCTAAGAAGTGATTCATGAGTGCTTTTTCTCTAAGTTGTTCTTTTTCCTGTCTTCTATTCTGACTGCAGCACCATTTGGATTTGGATGCAATAGAACATGATTTTAAACTTGCTTTTCTCCTTCCTTAGGATTATTGAGCTGTGCCATCAGTTCCCTCACGGTATCACAGACCAGGTGATTCAAAATGATATGCCTCACATGGAAGCCCAGCAGCGAGCCATGGCAATCAACAGGCTGCTCTCGATGGTAGGGGGATCTCACCTTCCTTGTGTTATTTCAGCCAACCCAGAGCACTCTTCATACACACAGTCTGCTTAGTAGCAGCCTATTGGGCAGGGCTAGCAAATGAATTCCTTTGGATTTAGCGTCATTTGCCATAATACACAGTTTACTATACCTTACTTTTGGTTACCATAAGCACTTATCATTGCCAAAGCAAATTAGAACTTATCTCAGCTTACAAAATTAACATGAACATGTATATCCATGTGGATTTCTAGGTGAGGAAGTTACTATTCAGAAGTACATTTGCTTGTTTGGGGTTTTTTTTCCTGGTTATTTATTGCGGGGGGGGAAATATTCTCAAGGGTATTATTGTTTCCAGCATTAGAAATGTTAGTTCTCCCTTTACTCAACTGACATGAAATCAGATTTTTATTTTAGAAGTTTAGAAGATTCTTGCCAGGTTCTGAAACAAGCTATTTGAAGGAAAATAAATGCATGTGCCCACCTCTCCTAGGGGCAACTGGATCTTCTCAGAAGCAATGCAGGTCTCCTGTACAGAATCAAAGACTCTCAAAATGCAAGGTAAGCCTCTTATTTGCTGGATAAATATATTTGGGACACAGTTCTGCAAGTCATGTGCAGCCTTGCTAAGGGGACGCAGCAGCGTAATATGGATGTTATGAGGCCTAACTGCTTGTTTCAGGAGGTACATTTAAATCCCCTGAGCTGATCCTGACAATTGTTTTGTGCGTAGTGGTTTCTATTGAACAGAGCTCTAACTTCCTAGCAGAGTTCCTGGTCCAGATGACTACAAAGTGACTGTGCAAATGTATGTATATACTCAGGTGAAAGCCAGCTGAAGCCTGACCAAACCATCCAGAGTCTGGGGTTCTGTGGTCTTCCTCACTGCTCATGTTTCAGGATCAGCAATCACCTTTACAGCTGTTCCAGGGGGGCATATGATCGCTTTGGTTTACTGAAGTGTGCCTCCAAATCATGTTTTGTGATGCCTGTGTAAGTCTGAGTAAGAGATGCAGAGGCATACGTCTGAAAAGAAACGTCCTTTCAAATTATCCTCAGTGCAGGCATCTCATCTTTTTTAGATGCTTTAGGAGAAGACTGTCAACTTCAGGCTTTCTCAGACAAGTGAAAAGACATGTTTGAGAGTTGGGAGCATGCTACTATTCTTTTGAAGATGCTCTGTCTAGAGACACATTATCTTCAATTATGCTCTGTGCTGTGTTTGGCCTTCCCCAGCTGCTTTAGTATGTGACCCCAAATTCCCTATTGTTATGACACATTGAATAACTCCCTCTGCAGCTTTTCCTTCATACTGTGCTCTTTTCTCTTTATTGTGGCTTCTCACTGGCAAGCTTGACTGATCCAGAGAGGTTTAATGTCATGTATTATATTGGCCAATGGCTGGCTTATTGTGTAGAGGTTCTATTTTGTGTGTTGGTTCTTTTCATAGTACTTGTTTGCAGTTTAAAACAAATTCAACTTTTGAATTTTGGGCCTTTCAAAAACCCTGATATCTGTCTTATTTTACAGTAAAATGAAAGGCTCTGACAATCAAGAGAAGCTGGTTTACCAAATTATAGAAGATGCAGGGAATAAAGGTACTTTAATTGCGAATGTTTACTTATGGAACCATTCCTGCCCAGACTTTCGAATGCTTGTGCAGATAATACAAATATGAAATCTGGAGTCCCCAACCCGGGTCTGGAGGTTATGTTCCATGTGTCTGCATTTTAAAAACAAATCAGAAGATGACCTATTTCTCTATTAAAATACCAACTTATCCTGGTTGACTTTTTTGGGGGGGCTCTTCCAGAATACCTAGAATATCTTTCTCCCTCTCTGCTCTAGTGAAACAACCCCCTACGCCACCCTCCCTGCAGTTCTTTGACTAGCTCTGGGGCCCCCAACACAAGAGGGATGTGAAGCTGTTGGAGTGAGTCCAGAGGAGGCCGTGAAGTACTCCAAGGGCTGGAGCACTGCTGCTCTGCAGACAGGCTGAGGAAGCTGGGCTTGTTCAGCCTGGAGAAGAGAAGGCTTCTGGAAGACCTTAGAGCAGCTTCCAGTGCCTAGAGGGGCTGTGACAAGAAAGCTGGAGAGGGACTTTTGACAAGGGCAGGTAGGGACAGAACAAGTGGTTTTAACCTCACAGAGGGGAGTTTTAGATGAGACATTAGGAAGAAATTCTTCCCTGTGAGGGTGGTGAAGCCCTGGCACAGGGTGCCCAGAGAAGCTGTGGCTGCCCCATCCCTGGCAGTGTTCAAGGCCAGGTTGGACGCAGGGGCTTGGAGCAACCTGGTCTAGTGGAAGGTGTCCCTGCCTGTGGCAGGGGCTTGGAACTGAATGAACTTTAAGGTCCCTTCCAACCCAAACTATTCTATGATTCAGTGTATTCACGTTGGCAATAAAGCAGGGTCCACTTGTAAGAGCCCTCAGAGCAAAGCGCAGAATGACAGCATGGTGATTGCGGTATGTTTCTTGGTTTTGTTAGTTGTTTGTTTTGTTCTGTCCCCTTCTGCCCCTTTTCTCCCTTTTGCTGGGAGTGGTAGGATTGAGGATACACCCTGTGGCTGGCAATCAAGTCAAGCAGTCCTGTGATGTGACTTTTGGTTTGTGAGTATGTACAGAAGCAAATGGTTTCTGTCATTAATTTCTGTTCCTTTCTCTGTTTTTAAACAGGTATTTGGAGCAGGGACATTAGATACAAAAGTAATTTGCCTTTAACGGAGATCAACAAGATACTGAAAAACTTGGAAAGCAAGAAACTAATTAAAGCAGTTAAATCTGTGGCAGTGAGTATCTGTGACTGCTTTTTTGGGGTGTTTTGTTTCTTTATTTTAACAATTTCCAGCATTTGCTGTATGTAGATATGAATGGGATTGTGAGCGGAGAAACCTCATTCATTCTGCCTCCAA